CTTATTTTGACGGCATGCGTTTTTCTGAAGAAGACCGAGCACAGAAATGGGATCCCCATGCTTCTGAACCTTCCTATTGCGAAATAGCACGTCAACCAGTCATGCGTCCTCGTAGGTTTGGAGAGAAATCCGAAATCCTGATGCTAAGCTCTCGACCTTGACTGAGGGTTGTTCTCAATCGCTACTTGTTCAAAACAGGAGAAGAATAGCCTTAATTTTCTCAAATTATTCTTTTCGTACTACTCAACTTTACGCATAAATGATCTTCCCGATCTTAAAAAAGACCAATCGGTGTCTCATTCAATCAATTGAGCACACGACACGAAAGAAGATGAAGAAGGCTTTGTATATGAATGCGGGTTCAGGTTGGCAAGGTTGGAATTCCCACTCAAAAAAGGATCACAACATGATACTTTGAACCCACACAGACAGTGCTTTCGTGGAAATGGTAAAATTAGTATAAAAGACTTTCTGTGGAAATTTCTCTCATAGACCAACTCGACTGGCAGAAAGAAGCTTATTCCTTACTATTCGGGTGGGTCTTGAGGTTTTTGGTCGGACCCGCAGATGTGCTCGAAGAGACAATTCGGAAGATGTTCATCAAAGGTCTGGGGTGGTTCCAAAAGGAGGGGGACATTGAAGTTTGGCTTGCCAACATGTCAGGTAGACGACTAGGATTATAATGAGGTGCTTGAGTCCCGGCTACAACCTTTTTCGAAAAGTCATGGTTGCAAATCACTTGTTTTGCAGGGGAGGTCCCTGACACCATTCCATTTGGAAAAATGCTAAACGCAACGGCTTTGATTGGCAAGTCGGCTAGCGTATTCCTCAGACTTCATCCTTATTGAAAACGTAGAGGTATCGTGGTTCGCGGTCTCTACGTCATTGAACAAAAGAGTAATATCACAAGTGACCTAACACGTCGGTGAAATTTGCTAGTTGGGAACAGATCTGCAAGACATGTATCCAGACCCGGTTCATAGCATGCCAAACAGAATGGCTCAACTTACTAGAAACTTTGGTAGGCCTACCGATTTCAGATTCTGAAGATATTGCCGTTTTTCAAAAAGTGTCCACATAATTTTGATACAAAGAAAAAACTTTCCATGAAAAATAGTTCGCTAAGTTAGAACGAAATCTTTTGCCGAAAATATCATTGTAGGTTATCGACCACTAGGAGTTGAATGGTGGAGGTTTCATGACATAAAAGCCTTTAGCTGACCCCTGAGAATCGATTCCAGGGTGTCCACATACTTTTGGTACGCACTGTATGACTGACTAAGCCCCAGATTCTATCCCTTCGAGAAGAGAAATGCGACAGGCGGCTACAGTTTTAGGTGTAGGCAGAGACGCGGAATGGTGCATTCCATTTTATTATGTGTTCTAAAATTTCACTTGGGGCTACAACCTAAATTTTCAACTTTTTTCAACAGTGGGCTTTGAAATCGTGGTTACCTCTGAGAGCAAAAACTGCCTTCCAAACAAGCACGAAACGAAGAAACTGTACACCGCTATCGTTACAACCTAGAAACTAAAAAAAAGAGTTTATTGAAATCGTAGATATAACATCCACTTAGTCTACAAACGGTTAAGAATAGGTACCTGAGTATATACTAGTGGGACCGATATCCAGTCATATGACCAAATCATTCCACACTGACCACGATACTCAAGGCAGTCCTAAACTAGAAAACGTTTTGAAATTACTTATAAGACAGAAGAAACCGCTCACATCTTTTAATGACTTCAGATGAAGATCCGAGTGGCCGTTCTTTATCTTGCTTATTACTAGTGCAGCCAAAGCCTGACGAGAACCATTGAGCCACGGTCGCAACCCCCCCACTCTAAAAAGTCGGGGTTCCGGAATTTTGAGCCCAGAACTGAGAGTCCATATCACCCTCTTGAACCTAATTCAATTTTTCTCTCCAATTTGTGGAGAAGAGAAAAAAATTCATGGTTAGCCATTAATCCTTGGACTTCGGCCCTTTTTCTGACGAAAGTTCCTCGACAAAATATTCCCTGGATGTTCTTCTAGAATATGACGAATCCAGAATATGACGTCATCTACTATCGCCGTCGACCTCAAGAAGGACTAACGTACACGCTGCAGCCTGAAGCTTTTGCATAATTTCTTGAATTTACTCACAGCTGGATGGTATCCTAAAAGACTTTAGCTCCGATTGTGCGAATCCCCTCAAAACCCGCCTTCTAGAAAACGCGCAACGGTACACGATCCGTCGAGGACCCCGCTTAGCTCGACCAGCTGGCACAGTCCTAAAAGCAGATTATTCCGTGCCGTCCAGCGAAAGGCTCTACGAAATTTTCTCCAAGCTCACACTCTCCGTTATCTCTTGGAAATAAAGCAAAGACAATCTCTAAAAATATATAAAGTTTTTTGAAGGCCGCTATGAAGAAAGCATGGGACGATAACGGCGATCAGCGGACGCCACGGATCCTCGCTCGCCGTCATCAGTTCGGACTAGAGGCGATCGTATCGATCGTTAGGGCGATACTGCAGTGTACTTTGATAGTTTTTCTCTAGGTATGGCAAGTCTTTGTCAAGCGATCAATACTTTGCCGAACCATGACCATGGAAAAATTCCTCAGAAAGAAATGGAAGTAATGAAATTGCAGCCGATAACAATCTGAAACCTGGAAAGAGAGGTGAATTGTACCTTTGCTGAAGGAAAGAAATGCAAAAAAATTATTGATTCTGATTGAAGTATAATTATGTCATTCAGTTTGTAAAACCAGACGTTCTTTTTGGACCTCAATATTCTACTCATCATCACTAAATATTAGGTCACAACGAAAGTCCTGGCGCATTTCTTCAAAGTCCTGACAAACGGCTGCGCATTAACCTGGAGGGGAAATTTTTTAACCATATACAGGAATGGTGATATTCCTTCATATTCTCGAGTCTCACCTCCTGCACGCTTTTGGAGCCTGGAAAATGCCATACGTTTCTACCCATGTACGCCACTGCCTTCTTTGCGAATTTTGTCTGGGACACACAGCGAGCGAAGCCTGCCGCAAAATATGCTCTGTGGAAGTAGTGAGAAAACCTGCCAACTTTGGTTCAGAAGGTTCCGCGAAGGAAACTACAACCTCGAAGATGGACGTCCCAACGGAAATCACTTATGAACGTTTGGAGCTGCTACCAGAGTCAACCCTATTTACCCTAATTATACCTATAATCTCACTGCTTCCTTTTCTAGGGGGACAGCCTCGCACAGCCTACTACCTTAGTTTCTCCTCAATCCCACACGTGATTTCGAGCGACTAAAGTGGGTACGACCCCCCTCCTACAAACTCAACCAGGTACGACCCCCCCCCTGTTGTTACTCGTAACAACGTAGGGTTGACCCTGGCTGCTACTTCAAGACATTCCGCATGCAAGCGCCAAGGAGCTGGCAAAGGAGATGCAGTGCTTCAACATGGCCACAGGTCGTGTTCATCACAAGCTGGAAAAAGTTGAGAAACTTGGTCGATTGATCCCTCATGAGCTGACAGAGCATTGCAAGAAAAGAGGTATCGGGGTGTGCAGGAGGTTTTCTTGCAAGGAGTCGCCGTTTCGACTGGCTTGGATAATGTAATTACTGGAGATGAAAGGTGGGGGCTCTACCTATGTCATACCAGAAGAAGACAGTGAATGGGTGCGAACCAGAAGCCAGAGCCTGTTCCAAAGCAGGAGGTTCATCCCAAGAAAGTTCCTCTGTCAGTTTGGTGGAGTGTTCGGGGAACACGTCATTACGAGATGCCAGACAATACCACCGTCGACGCTGAGGTGTACTGCTCACAACCACGAAGGCTCGCAGCTGAATTCGCGAAACTTCGCCCGAAGCTGGACGAAGTCCTTCTTCTTCATGACAACGCGCGACCGCATGTTGCAAGGGTAACCCAGGACACATTGGCGGAACTTGGATCTGCGGTTTTACCCCATCCTCCATATTCGCCAGGTCTTGCACCTACGGATTACCACCCGCTCCTTTCCCTGGCTCACTTCTCAAAGGATAAAAAGTACGACAACTGTCAACAGTTGAAGCGGCTTTCGTTGCGACCTAATATTTTGCGGTCCGTATAGATTTGTATTTTCATCTACAATCCTTTCTTACCTAGGTGCTTCCTACATTCTTATGCTTAATATCCAACGAGAGCCAGGTTGGAAATATACAGTATGATTCATAGAATCAATGCAAATAACTTGAGGATAAGTCGTGGAAGCGCGAGAAAAATGGATGACATGGGTGGGGTGCGCAACTGCCTCACAAACTCTGACGAAAACTGCGAAGCGCGTGATTGTGTCACGCTGCCTGCAGTATGTTACGACGCTTCTGAACGCTAGCTAAAATACTCGCGGTGTGACTCAGTCATAGCTTAGACATCGTCAATTGACGACTCTGCTATTCTGATAGAACACTTCATTGTGATGTTCTACATATGACAACGAAGGAAGTTGGAAGTGTGCTAAAAAATATAAAAAATTATATAGAAACTCGGATAAGGTGAAGAAAATTCACGAGTACTGGATTTTGCACTTTTCGTCCATCGCTAGGTTTGAAAGATCATCCAGAATCGACCATACCTAATCTACATTCTACACCGATCTTGTCCCTTCTGTGGATGTGAACTTATACCTTCAGTCACTTGATTGTGTATAGCAAATATTTTTGATATGCTAATTTAATTGTTATGTGTTAGGAAGTGTAGGACTGAATCGAAGAGAGTTCAGGTGAAAGCAATGCAAGCGTCGACACTAGGTGCATTGACTTTAAAAAATGGTCGATTGATCGCACATTCATCCCATCATCTTACGTGGGTTTGTTTATTTTACTAGATAGAAACGAGGTTGCAACAACCTTTCAGGTATATTCATTGCAGTAATTGATAAGAAAAAAGAAGCTATGTAGGAATGCGTTGCGCTCAAAAACAAAGCTGATAAAGCTTGCGTGCAATGAGCTGTGAAGTATTTTCGGACTGTTTTGAAACCTCCAGAACTGAAAGTTTTTGAGCTATGTATGAAACTCCATAAATTATTTGTTCCAAAATTCATTTGGCTTCCGCTGTAAAAATTTCTTCGCATCATTCTTTATCAAGAGGCTGCCTATGAACGGGGACCGGGGTTGCAACTTCGCAGAACTCTCTCTTTTACTGCTCAAAACACCTTCGCTCCTGCACAGCACGCGCTGCAAGTAAAATCTATGGAATTGAGAAAAGTAGAAGGTCGAGAATGGTAAGGATTAGGGCCATCCATAGAAAATGGATAACTCGCAACAATAAATCAACGTGAATCATACCCTTTTCGATCCCAGGATGTGCTTTTCTCCCAGAAGATTTTGAGAAGCAACCCTAATTTGAAATGTTACCGGCTCTATCTGTGATGGTTTTTACTAGAACAATCCGAAAAGGTTCCACTGCTAAAATGCAAAAAGATTCATCACGAAGCTCGAGGAGCTCCTCATCCATCTTACGATTTGAACTGGTGGGAAATTCCTTGCAGTAAACTACTTTGGAGATGTCAAAACCAGAGCGAGTTAGCTACCAGAACTGAGAGCAAGTCCACGGAATGATGTTTGGCTTGTAAAAGACTTCTCCCGAAAGCATGATAGTTGGGGAGGGGGTTACATCCAGAAGTCAAGCTCCATCGCTGATCCTCTTCAGAAAATGTTAAAATTAACTCAAAAATCTTATAAAAGACGACGTTGAGGTATGATATGTTGTTCTAGATCCCTGGTCATTCTGCTCAAAGACAGTTTTCTGTCTAGTAAAATCGGGGTCCCTGATACTTTTTCGAATCTTTCAAGCCGTACTAAACGCCCATTTCCCTGACCACCATAGTAAGCATTTGACCTTAACCTCCTAGGCCCTACCCAATGGACGAGGAACTTAACTATGGAGGCTTTCAGAAAGCAAAATCGGAAGGTCCTTGTCAAAACAGTCGTCACACTCAGAGCACATCTTGTCCTTAGTGATTACATGGCTCAACTCTACCTTTCTGTCGCTGTTCTACGCAGTATCCTCGTTAGATTGTAATCGAAACTACCCCGATTTCTGACCCTGAACGGTAGTGAAGGGTTACGTGGGTGCTGAATTAAGCATAAATTTATCTTATCCATTGATTGATTTGTTCCTTCAAGTATTAAAGGTTGAAGATGATCTTTGAAATCTAGGTAGCTGGAATGGTGGCTTCAGCATTTTTGATGTCGTCCCTTTCGCTGCAGTCGCTAGATTTCGGAAAACAAGTACTAGTTATTGGACTTGGTGGTGGAAGCTTTGATATGGCGTTGCATCGGATGAAACCCTACGTGAGTTTAAATAATCGTTACGCTAGGTTATCGCGTCTCCTTTAAAGGTATTCCGTGAGAGCAACTCTGGGTGGAAATAGGGAATAAATATGAGAAAGAGCTAATTTACTTGCCTAGAGAGAAAGGAGATGAAAAGATACAAAAAGGAACTAATAAAAACGTCTATCATCAATCATTTTTCGAGGCGGAGGGAGTGCGGGAGGCAAACTCTGTAAATGAGCATGTGTGCCGTTACGAGAGAATGGCAGGCGGAAGAAAGTTAGCATATCAGTGGACGCAATAGCACATACCGCACCGATGTGCGTGCTTTCCTAAGATGTCCATGGTTGGGAGTTTTGTGCACCTATCGTTCCAAGAAACGGCAATGGCAAACAT